TAAAAGGGCTGAGGATGTTATAAATGAATAGACAGAAATGTATAATGTAACTGTGATGGAAATATTCCCCTATTAAATACGAATAATATATATTATTTAAAGTAATTGAAATGTAATTGAAAAGTAATTGAAATAACCTGGTATTTTTTCAGTGTAATTAATTAAATTACAAATACAAGTAATTGAAGAAATGGTTAATTACAAATTACTTTAATTACTTTGAAAAATGTAATTAATTACACTCAATTACAATTACTTTTTTCAATTACCCCATCCCTGCCCTGGGGGTCATGATTTGAACAAACTTGAATCTACACTATATGACAATGATTCCACATGAGTTTCATCTTTCCTGGCCCATTGGTTCTTGAGAAGATGATTTTAAAGATTTTTCCTGTATATTCCTATGTTATACTTTGATAGTCCATTGTGGCCCCACCCTAAAATTTTACCCAACTTTAACCTTGACCATAACTTTTGAATAGTTGAAGCTAGGGCTTTCATACTTCACATGTGTACTCCTTGTGACAAGACCTTCCTTCGGATACCAACCACTTTGACCACTTTGACCCTTTGCCCTTGACCTAGGAGTTTGACCAACTTTGAAAAACTTTAATCTTGGCCATAACTTTAGAACGGTTGGTGCTTAGAGGGCTTTTATATTAAAAATATCTATTCCTTGTGACAAGACCCTCCTTTGGATACCAACGACTTTGACCTTGACCTAGGAGTTTGACCTACTTTGAAAAACTTTAACATTGGCCATAACTTTTGAATGGTTGGTGCTAGGGCTTTCATACTTCACATATGTAATCCTTGTGACAAGACCTTCCTTTGAATACCAACCACTTTGACCCTTTGATCTTGATAACTTTCAATAACTTTAATCTTGGCTATACTTTTAAACATTTGGTGCTATATGTAGGGCTGTGCGGTGCACCGAAAATTTCGGTGCACCGCGGTTCATACTGTTCTATTCGATGCACCGATCCAGAATTCCGGAATTCGGTTCGGTTCAAAATTTACATAACACGTATAAACAAAAATGGCCGCCAATTGGAGATCAGAAGTGTTTGTTTTCATGATTTTAATACTTTTTATAATGATTGTGCCAGTTTGAAGTCAGTGATTAGTTTTTTTATTCCACAAACACCCCTTACTTTTACAATGGAGATTAGTTTAAATTAGTATGGGCTAGTAAATGACCTGACGGGCTAGTGAAAAAGTAAAAGGTATTTTCCAAGTTATGCTTTTAAATCCCCAACCAATGAAAAAAATCAAAGAAGTTCTCTTGTTCATATCTCTTCTATCTAATTCTTTTAGCACTTCTACATTATTTATTTATTTCTAAAAGCCATGAAAACGATCGCCTTTTTTCTACTAATCCGAATTTCCTCCATTCCGATTTTATGGAAAATACATGTAGATATCACATTAATGATTAAATTATTTCCAGCTACTCAACTAATTAACTGAAGATTTACAAGGGTTATCAAAAATAATTATATTAACATTGTTTCTGAAAATTTGAATTAAAAAAAAAATAAATCACCTAGCTTTCACTTCATTTTGGAAGAGGAAGTTCAATGATCAGAAAAAAAGATGAATGTATACTACCATGTTAAAAGGTATCTATAGCATGATTGTTCATTCTGTTAAATTCAGCCTTAAATAATTTCTCTGATTATTTATTTATCATTGACTCAGAAGAAAAATACAAAATGAGAAAATAAGCAGAAGAAATATGAAAAGAAGAGTAATTCATTATGAAATGGAATAAAATAAATTAAATAATACAACAAAAGGTTTCAAATTTTATTATTTTTCTGGGCTAGTAGAAATTTTACTTTAGCTAGTAAAAATGTCAAATCCACTAGCCTCACTTGTTGTGTCTCAGAAAAGTTTTTGTGAAGACTGGAATAAAGGATTTTAATCAGTTTTTAAAGCAGAGGTTATCATTTTTCATTTATGATGAGAAATATTTAGACTGTTTTTGGTTAAATCGAACCGAATCGAAAAAAACCGAACCGTATCATTCTGAACCGAAACCAAACCGAATCGACTGAAACCTGAATCGTCCCAGCCCTAGCTATATGGTTAAACATTTGGCTTTCATACTTCACATGTGCATTCCTTGGGACAAGACTATCCTTTGGATTCCAACAATTTTGGCATTGACCTTGATCTTGGAGTTTGACCTACTATTAAAAAACTTTCTTTAACCTTTAAAACCTTTAACCTTGGCCATAACATGTGAAGGCTTTCACATTTAACGAACATGTGTATAACTTGTGACAAGACCTTCCCTTGGGGCCCGTTTGACCTTGACGTTTTACTTACTTTTAAAAAATGTTGCCCACATGCTGCAGTGGTTAGAGCGTTCGCTCTAGAGTGGTGGAGTAAGGAGTTGATCCTTACGTTGCGGGTTCGAATCCCACTGTGGGACGTGGAGACCGGTCCTTCGGATGAGACCATAAAAACCGAGGTCCCGTGTCGCAGTAGGTGCTGGCACGAAAAAGATCCCTCACTGCTCAATGGCCGTAAGTGCCGAGTATAGGACAAAATTTGCAGCTCTCCACCGGCAAGTGGTGGTGTCTCCGTATGAGTGAAAAATTCTCGAGAAGGACATAAACAACATGCAAACAAACAAACAACTTTCATAAAACTTTAACCTTGGCCATAACTTTTGAACAGTTGGAGCTAGGGCTTTCAAATTTCACAGGTATATTCCTCGAGACAAGACCTTTCTTTGGGTACCAACATTTTTAGCTCTACTGGTCGGAGACCAGAAGAGCTTATGCAATAGTAAGGTGTCCATCAACCGTCCGTCTGTCTGTAAACAATTTTTAGCTCACCTCAACGAAGTTGGGGGAGCTTATGTAATACCGTCGGTGTCGGCGTCCCAGGTTAAGGTTTTGGAGCAGTTTTCTTTTCAAGTACTTCAGATCTATGGCCTATATTAGTCAGAGATGCATGGAGGATGCTTCTAGTGTGTTTTATTGTACCAGTCAGGTTTCAGATGCTGCAATTTCAGCTAAAGAATGACCAGGTTAATGTTTTTGGAGCAGGTTAAAGTTTTTGGAGCAGGTCTCATTTCCAAGTAACTATAAGCCCTATATTGACCAAACTTGCATGGATGATACATCTAAGGATGTACACTACTGGACTTGCTTCGGATGCTGGATCTGACCTATATTTTCCGGATGAGTAACCAGGTTAAAGTTTTTGGAGCAGATCTCATTTCCAAGTAACTATAAGCCCTAAATAGACTAAACTTGCATGGATGATACATCTAAGGATGCACATTATTGGACTTTCTTCAGATGCTGGATCTGACCTAAATTTTTAGGATGAGTGACCAGGTTAAAGTTTTTGGAGCAGATCTCATTTCCAAGTAGCTATAAGCCCTATATTGACTAAACTTGCATGGATGATACATCTAAGGATGCACACTACTGGACTTTCTTCTGATGCTGGATCTGACCTAAATTTTTGGGATGAGTGACCAGGTTAAAGTTTTTGGAGCAGATGTCATTTCCAAGTAACTATAAGCACTATATTGACTAAACTTGCATGGATGATACATCTAAGGATGCACACTACTGGACTTGCTTCTGATGCTGGATTTGACTTACATTTTCCGGATGAGTAACCAGGTTAAAGTTTTTGGAGCAGGTGTCATTTCCAAGTAACTATAAACCCTATATTGACCAAACTTGCATGGATGATACATCTAAGGATGTACACTACTGGACTTGCTTCGGATGCTGGATCTGACCTACATTTTCCGGATGAGTAACCAGGTTAAAGTTTTTGGAGCAGATCTCATTTCCAAGTAACTATAAGGCCCAAACTTGCATGGATGATGCATCAAGGGATGAACAATCTCAAAACTTGCTTCGGATGCTGGATTTGACTTACATTTTCTGGATGAGAGACTAGTTTTAAGTTTTCAGATAATTCTATTCCCAAGTAACTGCAAGCCGTACCAGACCAAAATTGCATAAATGTTGCATCTACGGATGCACACTCCTAGATTATTAGTTTAGTGTGGGACTTTGCCTTACTTAAAAACAAGATTCGTTGAGGTGAGCTCTGTAATCTCTGATTACCTTTGTTTCAAAATGCTACTCCTCCTACAGTTTTGGTGTAATTTCAATATAACTTGGCACACAAGTAGACAACACTAAGATACATAATTTAGTGCATTGGTTTTTGATTTCAATCAACGGTGTTGCCATGGTTACTAAAAATAGAAATTTCTCTGAAATTCCTTTAAAATGCTACTCCCCCTACAGTTTTGGTCTGATTTCAATATAACTTGGCACACAAGTAGACTACACTAAGATACATAATTTAGTGCATCGGTTTTTGATTTCAATGAACGGTGTTGCCATGGTTACTAAAAATTCTCTGATTTCAATCAAATTTGGCACACAATTAGAATACACTACAATACATAATATGTATTTCGGTTTTTGATTTCAGGGAATGGTGTTGTCATGGTTACTAAAAATAGAAATTTCTGTGAAATACTTTCAAAACGCTACTCCTACAGTTTTTGTTTGATTTCATTATAACTTGGCACAGAAGTAGACTACATTAAGATACATAATTCTATTTATTAATGCATGTTGCAAAATTTCAAATCCAAGTGCTACTTTGGTATACGTACAGACCAGTAGAGCTACAGTCTCATCAGAGACTTCTGGTTGCTCTCTTGACCTGGAGTTTTACTTGCAATTGAGAAACCTTTACCTTCACCATAAGCTGCCATACGGGGGCATCAGTGTTTCACAAACCCATCTTGTTTTTCTCCAAATTATTTTATACAGATCCTTTTGACTCCACTCTTAGATTAACCCCTGTAAAACCCTTAGATGCATATCTTCTCTGTGGGGTTCCTGCTGACTGGTCAGTATTCTAGTTTTTATCTAAATATAATCATAAAATATAATAACAGGAAAAACGTAATTAATGCCATAAAAATATTTTTTCAGCCAGAAAATATACTGCTAGATGACAATCTAAATGTCAAAGTGTCAGACTTTGGGTTTGCGACAGTATTAGGCCAAGGAGAAGAACTCACAG